TCTATTTGTTTCTTTTTTTTTTTTTTGCTTTTTGGGTTTTTTTTTTACTTTAGTATAAACTGGACCAATGTCAACCTATTTGACTCAACTCAGCTATTAACCAAACCAATGTCTAGCTATTTATAATTTAATGTTGATTGATGGGTTGAGTGGTACCAGCGTTGAATTGCTGCATGAAGTGTTTTATATTGAGATAGAAATTATGGATAAACTATCCAAAGTTCAAAATTCAGATCAATTATTCTATAAAGAACTAAGCAATATTAAACAAGCACATCAATAATTGCTTCCCTAACCATATCGTTGAACAAGTAAAATTAAGCAATAACAAGAGATCACCCTGATAGAAGCAAAATTACACACTTTACACCAAACATATATTTAACCTTTTGACATGGGTGTAAACCAGATCTATGTCTAACCTTTTGACATGGGTGTAAACCAGGTCTATGTCTAACCTTTTGGCATGGGTGTAAACCAGATCTATGTCTAACCTTTTAACATGGGTGTAAAATTGACTTATGTCTACCATTTTGATTCTCATGCAAACTGGACCTATATCTTCTAAAACTTGTATTCATCATTAAATAATCCAACAAGGGTTAGTCGTTAAGTTAACCAACTGAACTTCACCAAAATATGCACTTTAATATTCCCTTTTAGATTCACAGATCATGACAGCTATTAGGGAGATGTGATTATACATACTTTAATGTTTAAAAAAAAATTTATTCAGTATTTTATTATTGTTTAGGTAATAAGCATTTTAACTTAGCACAAATAGCTATATTGTGGAAAAAGGAATTTTCGACAATATACATATTTTTTATGTATTTTTGGTTATTTTTAACTTTTATCAAAAACGACATTCTTGTACATGTAACTATATTTTAAGATATTTTTATGTCTATACATTCTTTTTTTATAGATACAAATATTTAAGTAAATGCTCTGCTTATAATAAACAGTATTAACAACATTTACTGGCCTGAATGTTCGAGAAATTGTCATAGAAAATATTCGTCAAGCTACATTCGCAAAATTAGATATTGAATTCAGACAAGTACTATTCCCAGTTGGGCTGACGAAAAACAGCAATTGATGAAAAGCATCTAGAATTGGCCAATTGGAAGGATGTCATCTTCCATCAGGACAAAGCCTTCGCATCTCTTTTTACATTGGTACAACTTGGCGGGAGTGTCCTTCTACAAACATCATACTCACCTGACCTTGCACCTTAAGATCACCAATTATTTCAATCCCTACAAAATTCTCTTAATGACAAGTGTGGAGATAGAAAACTAGACCAAAACTTCACCATCTCTAAAAGTAGACAGATAATAAAAATCAACAGGCATACAAAGCCATTGTTTGACCAACTAATCAGAAAAATTTTGCAACCATGATGTAAGAAAAGAAATAAGTAAATGATAACAAGGAGATCAAAATTTCACCATCTTTAAAAATTTGATCAATCAATCAGAAAGCTTTCAAAACAAGGAATTAAGGTGACAGGCCAATGAGAAGTGAGCAGCCTTTTCAAAGTGGATCTATAGATGTGCAAATAAACAGATGAAAAATCAATCAAAATCAGAATCGATAAATTAATTTTGTCGATTCTCTAATGCTCTAATTCTCATCATAACATACTGAAAGACAAAATGCAACATTTACACAACTAGCTGGCAACTTTAGATGGTTAACCCATCCTTTGCTACTATAAAAACAAACATATATTCCTTCACTATGTGGTCAAGTGATAGCTACATACATTTGGATATATACATATATATATTTACTTCCTCTTGGACTCTTTTTCCTTCATGCACCAGGACTTTTCACCTTATCTCTCCAAATTTCAAATACCTTCTGTATTATTCATGATCACAATTCCTGTATCTCATTAGGGTCGTAGAGGCACCACATGTACTGTAGCCGTGGTAGAAGAGGTGTGTCTTGGCCAAGATTGTCTGATGGATCCCAACCCTTTCCAGGTTAGTTTAAATTCAGAGTTTTCATTCTCCTAGACTAGTTGCCATCAAAGATGACAGAACCCAGTCTGTCTTGCTATTTATCCATAGCTGGGAGGAGAAGAGGGGGATTAATACCTTTCCCAAGGGTATTAGCATGTAAGTGAATGTAATGTATTCAACTGGAATTCAAACTCAGCTCTATGATTCCTCAATCCAATTTACAATCCATTAATCTACCATATCTCCTCTGTATTATTATACTATAAAGATTTATGTCGTATGCATCAACACTGTGCATTTTCTTTAATCATTATACAAGGACACTATACAATCAAATATACAAGGTAACGGATGTTATCAGAAGATAACCCCCATAACCTCTATAGAAATACTTTAATTTTATGGAAGCTTGTAAAAAACACTTAGATCAGTTCACCACCAAGAAAGATGCCAAGTTATGAGAGGATGGAATAATGAAGCTGCTTGAAAGATGTTGAAAGCCAGTGGAACAAAATTGCATATATATGGCTGAATAAATTTATCAGCAAATATATAAATATTGCCTTTGAAATTCACTTAAAAAAAACAATATAACCTTTCGTTCATAACCTACATATGTGTGTGTGTGTGTCTGTGTGTATGTTTTGAACAATAAAAAATATTAAAAAATTACAATTTTCAGACAGACTGGATTGTATATTAATATTTTTTGTTTTATTATTTTAATTAAGTTCCTAGACTAGTTTCAGCCAACATGGCCATGATCAGGAGGAAAAAGAATCCCTATTTGTTAGTAGTAGTGAAATATAGGAATGAATGACTGTTTTAGAGTGAACTTTATCTGTAGCTTTCATTTGTTTTTTATTGTTAATTTTGGTCAGTTTTTATGTTGGTTAAATGGCCTCTTTCAAGTTGTTTTTAAAATAGAGGCTGAGAGATACCTGACTTTCAGAATTCTCTCTTTGTTCATTTTGACAGTTTTATTAGTTGCTGGGAATAGGATATGTGTGTTAAGAGTGTGTGATCTTTTAGTTTGGGGGTAGTGTTTGTGGTGTGTGTATATATATATATATATATATATATATATATATATATATATACACACATGTATAATTCATTCAAGACGCAAGAATAATAATAACACACACACACATTTATATATATATGAATATAAGTTATCTATATATATGAATATAAAATATATAATTATCTGTTTGTTTTTTTTATCTATTTTCTTTTGTTGTAGATCATTTATAAATAACTTGAAATCTAATGTTAATGTTTGTTATGGTATCCTCTGACTAATGTTTTGGGATCATTTATCATTACAGTTTTCAAATCCACATCATTAAAAGATTATTTTGTTTGAATCCTCTCCACAGTTTCTTATCCAAAATTTCTACTTTGAAATTTCTACATGTGTGCATGTTTATTTCTTTTTCTGAGAAGGATTATTCATCATTTGAAAAAGTCAATCAATATATATATGAAATAATCTTACTACAGTAGTAATGGTCTGTGAAAAAAGTCTATAAAGGAAAAGAAAGAAAATGTGTTAAAAATTTATAAGAACACATTAAAAGGAACACAAAAATTAAAGATTAATTAAAGATAGTCCCAAAATATAGAAAAACATTTTTATATATATTAATACCATTTTCCCTGATCTCTGTGAAAATAGAGCCTTCTGATGAAACTTTTCACAATCTGATTTGGTTTGATTTGTTTTGTTTTACAGCATATCAAACTCAATTGGTTATTTAATGCCGACAAGATTTTTTATTGCTGGTAATATTTTTTCCAAAAATTTATTGCTGGTAATACTTTTTGCTTCAGAAATGCATTTTTGGTAATATATTTTTTCTTCCAAAATGTATTGCTGGTAATAATTATTTACAAAAATATATTGCTGATAATATTTTTTCCTTCAAAAAAGTATTGCTGGTAATAATTTTCCCTCAAAAAATTCATTGCTGGTATTAAAACCTATTTTTACACTTTCACAGTGCTTTGACCCCAGTTTGGGGGTTAACTATTTGCCCATAGTTGGGACCCTAACAGGTGCTGCCTCCCTGGGTCAGAGTGGACCTGAGAACAACAGCAATTAAAAGGTAGTTCAATGCTCCTCAAAACCTCCTGATCAGAGGCCTTGCTGCCGAATGTAGTTTATCGTCTTACCCAGGACTCTTCACAATCTGAAATGGCACACAACATAAAGCAATTCCCATTCATTTTTTATATGAGAAAATGTTTGATTGTTTGCAGACTAGGAAAACAAATTTTCATGGCATTTTGCTACAACTCACAGTGCTGTAACCATAGCAACAAAGAAAAAAAACATGAAAGAGTAAAAGAAGGAAAATTGTGAAAGAAAGAAAGTTAAATTAAAATCTGGAAAATGAAGAAAGAAAAAATACAGAACGATAAAATGAGTGAGGCTGAAAAAAAGCAAAATAGAAAGACAGGAGGAGAAAATCAGAGAAAGAACAGTGAAAGGTTATTAATAGAAGTCCAGTCTTTGAACTGAATGGTTCACTTCCATTATTCACATCAAAGGCTCTCATTTCTTGTCCTATGAAATTGGTCTGGACACAACATTAATACTCATTATTTTCATTGTCACTTCAGGAAAGGGGTGCAGACGGGAGTCTCTTCCACCCACAGAGACAAGATTACATCACCCTAATCATGTAACAGGGAGACAAGTTATTCAGAACCTAGATTTTAGGACAAAGAAAAACTCACTCAGTTGTACACATCCCTGCTATAAACTAAAAGCAAATTTCTTTTTGTTGTTGTTATTGTTATTGAACAAAATCTTGAGACATGAAATATTTTAAAAGAAAGAGACAAACTTCCCTAAAAAGCCTGTTTGTAGGAAATCATTATTCCATTAACAAACAAACTTTATCAATAAATTATTGAGACTTTGCTGTTTTGGTTATTAAAATTCATCTTCAGAAGGATAAATGGGAGTCAGTTTGTGTAGTCCAGGGAGCAGATGAAATCCAAAACCATGGATTTGTTATGAGCATCTTTCTGTGCTTTCATTATAGACTCTCTCTCTCTCTCTCTCTCTCCCTCTCTCTCTCTCTACATATATATATATATATATTATTATCTTTTCATATCTATCTCATCTGTTTATATCTATCTATCTATATCACATTTTTATATCTATCTATCTATCTATCTATATCAGTCTGTGTATATCTATCTATCTCATCTGTTTATATCTATCTATATATCTATCTATATCACTTTTTTATATCTATCTATTTACATCAGTTGGTTTATATCTATCTATCTATCTATCTATCTATCTATCTATCTATCTATCTATATCAGTCTGTGTATATCTATCTATCTATCTTTTTCAGTCTGTTTATATCTATTTATCGCAGTCTTTTCAATATCTATGAGTCTATCTTTCTATTTTTCTATCTACATATCTATCTATCCCAGTCTCTTCATATCTATCTCAGTCAATTTATATTTATTTATGCCCTTCCCACCCTACAGACACAACTTATGGTGTACCAAAAAATAGTATTTTCAGCTTTAATAGAATTTTACTCCAAATCACACAAAGTGTTCTGAAAAGTTCTAGTCGTGACCAAGAAGCCCTTCCACAAAAACCTTATATTTGTTCCTTTGTTTAGATTTTTGGAAAGTTAAAATATTTCAGCACTCAGTCACATGTCATATAGAAATCTAAAGACTTCACTATATTATTGCTGTTAGCATTGTCACACTGATATGTCAGATTTTCAAAATTTTCCCAATATAATTGCTGTTTTGATCAAGTAATGTTAGTGAAATATTCAGGTATACTTATACTTGCATGATAAATATTCCTTGTGAATTTCAGCTTTTAATATTTATTAGGCCTTTAAAAATGGATACTTTAAAAGTATATATAATTATATACAAATATAAATATATACAAAAATGTATCAAAGAAAGAAGAAGAAGAAGAGCTATGGGCTAGAAAGAAAATGACTCACCTTAAAGTTGTGGATCAAAAATTATGAAAACAAAAAAAAAAGAAATAATAAAAATCAGCTAACCAGTTATGGATCAATAAGCAGAATGCATTTTGATTATCATCTGAACATTTTTGAGACTATTTATATTAAGTTTAATCAGCCTTCCCTCTGTAAGCAGATGGAATAGTTACTGGCTTTGTGATTTATACTGCAGATTCTGTGGTAGCATCTTACTTCCCTTTTTATTTGTTGTGTACATAGTTATATGCTTCTGTCTTTGAATGACTCTGAAGAGTTAGGAGGAATAACCAGTTTACCATTTTTTGTTATTTTTACTCTTCACAGCTTTTGATTTTGTTTTATTATGAATACTTAGAATAAATTTCTGTGGGAGTGTAAAATATTATTATGTAACTCAAGGGTTATTCATAATATTGTAAATATATATAATAGTATAGTTGTTAATATTTTCTTTTAATGTCAGATAAATAAAGGAAGTTGTAACCTCTTAAATAAGATATTGTAAAGTTATTGAGTAATGGGAACAAAAGGTTGGAAATGGCAAAATATGTTGTACAGAGATCAAGGAGCAATCAAAAAAGAAAAAAAAAAAAAATTGCAATATGAGCACTGGTAAAAATGATGCTGAAAACATTAGGTTTATAATACTCAGAAGTTCATACCCAGATGTCCTCAAGGACACATGGCACAGTGGATAAAGGCGTTGGTTAGATCCAGTGACAGACCCAAAGAAGGTGAGTTCAATTCCTGGTTAAGGCAGTGGAGAACTTTCAGAGGGAAAATTAGCAGGAGATAACTGATAACTGACATCCATCAAACATGGCACGTGGAATTAGATCGAAATAAAGGGTTCAGTTCCTGAAGAAGGCGGAGCGCATAACGGCCGTAAACGCTAGACAAATATGGCGACAAAAGATGAGGACAATAGTCCGACTAATGTAAATACTGTACATAATACCTCATCTCAGAAATATAGACAAACTATCAAAAAAGAAATTGAAAACATTGGCAACATAAAAAAAAGATAAGTGTTTTTAAGAATGTGACAAAAAAGAGAACTGAGAAAAATGAAAGGGGAGAGAAAATGAGATAAGTAAATTGACTGGTAGGAAAATATTTGAAGAAAATGATGTTGACGATATAAACTAAGATAAAAGATATTGAATATGAAATAAATTATCACCAATTAAATTGGGCAAAGAAGTACATGAAAACTAATTTCTGAACAGTAACTTTTAGAGAGGAATGTAGTGCTACTTTTGATGAAGCTGTTCTACTTACTTGGCACACATGGGGGGGTCTTTTTTTTTTATCATCTCTCAGTTGTGTCTCTGTCTTCAGGCAGATTGCAACTTAGTTGTAGTTCTGTCAGAGGACAGAGATGCAACTGAGGAAAATCATACTGTGAGGTGCCCAGCCCTGGGAAAACAGATGCCCAAGGCTGCAGTCTCTCATTGCACTGGGGTGTTGGATCTGTGCCTGCATCAAGGCCAGCACCACCAATAGTTGTGGGGTCTCGGTGAATTTTTGTTTTTAGCCCAAGTGTATACGCTCAGGTTTCTCAAATTAAACCAACCTTGTGTTACAACCTAACTCCATGGGAGAGGCGGGGGGATCAAGTAACTTGCCTTTGGATGAATCTGTTAGTGAGGCTAAATTTGGGTCCTTCAATCAGTATTACTTAAAAGACAATGGGGGTGGAATGGTGAAATATTTTGAACTAGTATTTATAGGCAGTAAAATTATAAGTTTCTTTAAATTTAATGGTAATATTAAGATAATTTTAAAAAATTACTTAATTAATTATGTTCTTGATAAGGGGAGTGGGGGTATTGCAATGGATAGTGGCTTGGAATGAGAAATTGAAGAGCCAATTTCAAATTCCAGTTGGGATCTTTACATTCACTTACGCACAAATACCCTTGGGAAAGGTATGAATCCATTTCCTCCCTACAGCAATGAGTTAAATAGTAAGACGTAGTTGAAAAAATTATTGTTATCTCCCAAAAATTTTTACTGTGATATTTACTAAAACATACACGCAAAAAAAAAAAAACAGAATTCTTCTTACAATCCAAAATATGTTTTGGATTTAAATAAGCCGCAATATAAACTGTAAAAAAACAAATCCAATCAAATCTTGGACAAAGCTTTTTTAAATGATACAAATCACAACCAAGAAGTTTTCAGCTAAAGTGTCTTTTTATTAAAGACAATGCTCCGTCACATTCTATAAAACTGATTATTGCCCACCTTGCCAAAAGAAGGTCTTAAAGACACCAAATTAATTTAAATTTAATAAAAAATTAAAGAAAATGCAATTAAAAATGGAAAACAATATTGATATCAGGTAAACAAGAAAAACTTGCTGCAAGAAGGGATAAGTTATTTTTTTCAAAGTCCATGAATATTAGTACAACATAATAGTAGTTTGTATATGTCTGCATATTTATGTTTTCAGATAAAATTATCTAACATTTGCTCCAACATTAAAATCCCTTTGTATACAAAGAAAAGATTCAAGTCTCCAAGCAACACTAAACATGATAATGTTTCTTCACAAATTTATAAAATAATAATAATAATAAAATTCAAGCAAACTTTTTCACTTCACTATATATATATATATATATATATATATATATATATATATATATATATATATTATGAAATGGACAAAGTCCGACAATTATTTTAAGACATTTTTATGTTTATACATTCTTTTTTATAAATACAAATATTTAAGTAAATGCTCTGTTTATAATAAACAGTATTAACAACATTTACTGGCCTGAATGTCCAAGAAATTATCATAGAAAATATGCATCCCCCAAGAGGAATTGAACCTGTATCCTATACAGAACTGTCATATAGCCTGACGTGCTTTTACTGATTTCACCACAGAGGAGCGTTTTTGGTTAGCAAGGTCGATTTTACTGTTTTCATGGAAAATTGTAGTCTAAAAGTAGTAAAATCGACCTTGCTAACCAAAAACACTCCTCTGTGGTGAAATCAGTAAAAGCACGACAGGCTATATGATTCGTTCCAAGATAGGGTACAGGTTCGATTCCTGTTGGATATTTTCTATGACAATTTCTCGGACATTCAGGCCAGTAACTGTTATCTTAACATATATATATATATATATATATATATATATATATACAGATTCTTATATATCAATCATTTAAAAATGCTTGTGTATATATATTTAACTGTATAGATAGTGAGTATATGTGTAATTGTATGTGATTATGTGCATAAATATCTATAGGTATACAAATGTGTGTGTGTGTGTGAGTATAATGCTCCTTTTTAAATTGTAGTTGGAGCTACAGTACCAATGAGTATATAGGGGCTGTACCCTAGCAACAACTCTAAGTAGAAGATTATGTAGCTTTATTTGACTCATTCCGCTTTAGTGTTGAAAAATGTTTATTTTATTGTGATAGATTTGTTGTGCTTTTTTAGCAGCAGAAGCAGTTCTAAGTAAATAAACCCTGTATCAGCAACAGCTTAAATATAAAAACACATGAACCCTAAAGTAACTCCCTTTTTCTTCTGGATTCACTTTTCAAACTGTTGATATGAACTTTCCACACTGAAGCTAAAAGAGCTGTGAAATGCTTCACACTAAAACACACCCACAGTAAGTCACACTATAACATATTCAAAAACATTTTATTGTGTTTATAATTTACTTCTAATAAAAGAAACTCTTGTTTTAATCTTTAATTTTGTTAATTTTGTTTTAATAAATGTTATCTTTGCATTGCAAATCAATTGGTCAGTTATTTTTATGCATGTAATCTTTACACCACCATTATTCCTTGTGCTAAAAATATTCCCATAAAAAAACCTTACACATTTAATTACTGAAAGTAACTAATCACTAAAGATTGTTACAAGTAAGAGGGGAGAGGGGATGTGCTTGTTTTATTACCACAGGGGCCCTTATCAAACGTATTCTCTAGGGTACCATAACTCACGTTAACAGAAAAGGAATGCAAGCTAATGCCTGACAATGGGGATACAGTGTTATTAAATTGAATAGGGGGATTATTTAGGCTTTTGCATTGGATAATATATGAAAGCAATTAGAATGTTCGTTTTTGGATTCTAACACTTAAGTGGGAGTTGGTAATTGTAAACAAAAATTATGTAAGGAAAGTATACACATATATGAGCTATTATCATATAGTAGAAATAGAAGTTTGCATCACATAGTGGCCTTGACTGCTGCTGTTAACATTGGACTCCTATCATCTCTGTAGCTGTCTTTGGTCATTGGCATAAGATTTCATTAGATATGTTACTTCAGTAAGTGCCTCACTCAAATGAGCTAGAGACATGCAAAGACAACATAGTTCAGATTAGTTTTCTACTGCAGAGTTGAATTGGTGGCAGTTTTTATTTAGCGATTCAAAGATAAATTACTGGTTTAAGCTGTGTGGATCTTGTCATGCTTCTTATG